CCAGCATACTCTCATGATCTTTGCTTCAGGAGGTGAGTCACTTCAAGACATCAGAACACGGTTTCAGCACTGAGGAGAAAAGCTCTCTCATGCGCGGAACAATAGCTAACTAATATAATACCTAAAGATCACGACAAATAATTGCATAATTATATATAACTAGAGTTCACAAAGCATCCAATTAACAAAGGAAAAGGAAACATTCCGAGAGTATAGATTCCGTTGACGTTCTATTACGCTGCATTTGGATAACTAGTACGTGTTATTGATTAATGTCAGTATATAATAAATTATGACGTTATAAAGATCATAGGGTGATCACATAAACATGTACCTGGACTGAGCAGGAAAGTAATTGATGGTACAATTCCTATAATAAAAATATTAATAAATTATATCTCATCTGACTTTAAAGTAATAAAGACTTAACTTCACATTAAATAAAATAAAAAGATATAAAGATCTTCGGTTCTGATGATCAATACAGGAATATTCCCAAAAACTTAAAAGTAAATTCTTTAACAATCAATTTTAACTGTAAACTAGGCTAAATTCAATTTGTTTATACTAAACACATTATCCCATCTCCTAATGGCTCCACAGATTTTCAAATTAGAGGTACACTGAATTTTCACAAAAACACGATCATAGATATTTGATAATAAAAGAAACCGAATTTATCAAATCAGAGAAAACTAAAGTAGGCAAAACGATCATTAATAAATATATATCCTTAGATTATATTTAATCTAGCAAAACTCAAAACCCATTACTCATCAACGTAACAATCACATATAATAAAGATTTCTTTACTGAGCAAGAATATACCACCCGACATAAGGCACTTTATAACACACTTACTAACCTTTAACCGCAAACAGTTTATATTAAATTAATTGATTATAGGTAAAAATCAAGCATGAAATTGATTGTGAGGTAAATATGAACTAATAAATGCACTAGCACTTGAAGGCAAACCCGTAAATAACACTTGTATGCTAGTATACACTTGTTATACCTCCTGTGACGATATTAATCATTTGATTGATGAGGTTCACTAAGATTCAGTAAAGTATAAACAGATATCCATGACATTACATAAATATGAGGTTATTAGAAGAGTATTGTACCTATTGCAATATTTGTGGAAGACATTAAAAGGCGCACAGGGAGACGGTGAAAGTTATAAAATAAAGGTGTCATTTGGATGCAGATGATTAGATGGCAGTGCAAAGGCTAATTCCAGAATGGATCGACTCCAGTAAATAAAAAACATGAATAACAACCGAAGATTCTTCTCACTTTAATAAAATAATATAACTACTATTACACATCAACGAGATATAACTATAACCATAACACAACTAACTATAATTTGTATATACATTATATATTATATGTTCACACTCCAACCAGTTACATAGCTCACGGAAGGGAGTGTAAGCACGGACAAAACGACGAACAGGAGCTAACTTAACAACGGCCCGGAGATCCCAGTGCAGAGAATAACCAAAACGTTATATGCAATGGCTAACCAAGATCAGCAAACTGCCTATCAGCGGCCGCCGAGAAACGGACCCCGAATGCCATCGAGAACGAAAAGCGTCGCTGAAAAGAACATCCACCGGATCTACTTCCACCGTTCGGAGGTCCACACGGCCTATTCACATGTCTTCAGCAGACTTGCCAAGGTAAACCACTTCTATACACCTCACCATTCTGTACATCGACACCCGATCCGTTATAACGCCCATAGGCGCAGGCATACTAGGGTATGAGCATCACCCAATCAATAACACTCATAAATATAATAAACCCTCACCAATCTATACCTGATCATCAACGCGAGGTCAATAACCAAAATAAACAAATAAATGGAGCCGGCAGTGAAAACCTATAAATCTATACCACTCACCTAATTCAACCTGGTCATAAAATTGGATTTATTAGGTTTAATCTATCATAGAAGGTACCAGCTCACAATCTATAACGTCATAATATCTTTAACTGACATAAATCAAGGTCCTATTTAAGCAATCTATAGTCAACAATCTAATAACCATCACAGATCTATATGTCCAATGACTTTTAAACATCAGTAATCATTTGAAATTTTTCACGTTATACCGTAATGAGCTATTGCTCCCCCTTGAGAGAGCCTGAACGTGGATTTAGTATCACCCTCCTGAGCAGAGCTGAAATCTAGTTCAGGAAGTCACCTGATGCGTGGAGGAGAACAGTAGAAACTCAAACAGAAATCAGCAACAATGGAGAGGTCATTGTAGTCCAAAAGCATGTCCCACCAACCAGCCGTATCCCTGAAGAATTTTTATTGCATTAAATTCTACCAGCTGACCGTTTAAAGAGTTTTAACAGGACTGATTGACAGCATTCCTCCAACAGACACTTTAAAGCTTAAAGTCTTAAAAGCTAACAGTCTGGTATTCTGAATGCATTCTCCTGTTAATCAGTAAGTTGAAAACATTAGTTTCTGTACAGAAAGTACATAAACTGTTAATTCAATTCAATTATTTGTACAGCGCCAAATTCATAACAGAATTATTCAGGACACTTTTCAAATAGAAGCAAGTCAGACCGAAACTCCTTTTAACATTACAGAGACCAACAGTACCACCATAGTCAAGCACTTGGCGACCGGGGCAAGGAAAAACTGCCTTTTAACAGGCAGAAACCTCGGACAGACCCTTCGCTCTAGGTGGGGGGTCATCGCCTTGACCATTGGGGAGAGAGAGAGAGAGAGACAGAGAGAGAGACAGAGAGACAGAGGAAGACAACAGATGTACAGCAACAACAGCAATCACAACTACACTTAACAGTAATGATTCGATGACGATCATGAAAAACGACGGTGACGACGACGACGACGACGACGACGACGACGACGGCGCAACGACAGGGACAGCGAGCAGGACAACAGCAACCGCAGCAACAAAACAATACTGCAACAACAAACTGAATAAATAATAATAATAACAATAATAATCAGTGATACTATCAATGGCAGTCCTAGCAGGACCATGGCAGGAGCCTCCACCAGGAATCCATAGAACCTGCAGGACGTAAAGCAGCTAAAGAACTCCGGGAAGAAGTGAAGTTTAGTAAGAAATGCATAATGGGACATGAATGAGTGCAGAAAAGAGAGAAGAGGAAAAGAGGAGCTCAGTGCCACCATGGGAAATCCCCGATAGTCTAGGCCTATAGCAGCATAACTAAAGAAGATTGGTTCAGTGACTCACCTGATCCAGCCTTAACTATAAGCTTTATCAAAGGAGAAGTGTCTTAAGCTACTCTTAAATGTGGAGAGGGTTGTCTGCCTCCAGAACCACAACTGGAAGCTGGTTCCACAGGAGAGGAGCTTGGTAACTGAAGGCTCTGGCTCCTGTTCTACCTTTTAGAGACTATAGTGAACCACAAGTTAGCCCAGCCATTTCAGAGAACGTAGTGTTCTAGAGGGTGGGTAATATGGGTACTATGAGCCTCTTCAAGATATGGAAGGGGCCTGACCATGAAGAGGCATTTAATAGGCTGAGCGGAGGAGGATTTATAATTCTTATTCTAAATTGTAACAGGGAGCCAATGCAGAGAGAAGCTTAAGAAAGGAGAGGATATTGATCTTCCTTTTCCTTAGTTCCTGGCTCAGTACTCGTGCTGCAAGCGTATATTGAATTAATTGGGAGCGTTTAAATGGACTTTATTTAAGGGCAACCTGAGTAACAAAGAGTTGCAGTAATTCCAGCCTTGAAGTAACACAATGCATGGATTCAGTTTTTCCTGCATCTGTCTGTGATAAGATGTGTCTAATTTTGGAGTAATATTACGTAAATGGAAAGAAGGCAGTTCCTAGAGATGCATGCCTTTATATGGGAGTTTAAATGACAAGTCCTGATCAAAGATAAACTCAAGATTCCTGACAGTGGCCACTATAGCAAGGTAATTGCCATCTAGAGTAGCTATATCTTTAGAAAGTGGACGTCTCTGAGGCTTTTCTTGGGGCAAGTACTAAGAAATTCGTTTTTTTCTGAGTTTAAACATCAGAAGAATTGCAGGCTCATTCACAGGATTTTATCCTGTCCTTAAGACATAGTTTGTAATTTAGATAATTGGATTTAACTTTCATCAAAGGCTTTGAGTTGATAGATAGTAACTGCGTTATTCATCTGGCGCATAGCAATGGTGAAGTTAATTGGGGGAGTGATTCCTAATAATGTTGCCTAGCATATATAATACGTAAATAGCAATTGGTCCAAGTTACAGAAACCTATGTGGAACTCAATGATTAACTGTAGTATTTATTGACAGTTTCATCGTTAAACATGAACAAACTGTTGAAACGACCTGATAAATAGGAACCTAAACCAGCTTTAGTGCGGTTCTTTAATGCCAATTTGTTGCTCAAGCGTCTCTGGTAAGAAGACATATCTACTGGTCAATGGTGAATCAAAGTGCAGCACTAAGATCTAATAATCAAGCTACAGGTCAAGACAAGACCATTGTCAGAGGCATATCAAAGGTCATGTACTAAACTTTACACCAGGAGCTGTCTCTGTCTGCTGTGATGGAACTCCTAAAATCCTGGACTGAAAATCCTCAAATTAGAATATCCAGTGCTATGTAAAGAAGTCAGCACAACTGTTTCCTTCCTGTGCTGATTATTTTTTCATAAGAATCTTAGAGAAGAAAG